GACCCCCTTCCACGTGTTCGCCACTCGCAATATCTCCCTCCTGTATATAAAGCGCAGAGAACCCCAATCCTTCATGCCTACAAATACACACAGCATCTACCCTTCAAAAATCAAACGGAAAATCTATTTCCGATCACTTCTTCTTCCTCCGATCTGATACTCGCTATCCATGTCGACCGCACCGAGAAATAACTCCGGCAGTCCAAGCCGCCTCCAGCGGCGCGCTCCGGTCTCTCTACAGATTAGACCACCGGTATCGAGCTGGAACGTAGCCATCCCCCTGCTATCACCGCTCGCGACGTCGCCTAAGGCATCCGATCGGTTAGTCATGAGGGAGGAGCCGCCGAAACAGGAACAACGGCGTAACCAGAGCGCGGAGCCGGAAAAGCTTGTGTTCAAGATGTGGCAGCATCCAGCGGCGCCGTTCTGTCACGAACCGGTGTCGTTGCCTTCTTTCGTGCCGGTATAGACGTAGATGAAAAATTACTGTGGTCAGATATAACTGCGCGTATGTTACAGTAGATCTTCCAATTTTTGTATACAATATAATCTTCTCTCCTCTTTTTTTTTTATTTTTAAGTACTTCTGTGTATATTACTTTCACATTACTTTGATTACTAACTCTATCTCCATCTATTTAAATAGTTTAGTGTTAATTGTTTTTATTAAAAGTAAAAAATCTTAAATTCCATTAAGTAAAGTGAAATAAAAAATAAAAAAATGTTATCTCATATTGTACAACTAATATAAAAAAAAAAAACTCTACTAACAATCAAGACATAGTTAACTTAATGTTTTATTTAGATAATATTAAATTTAAATTATATGATATATAAATGAGATAAATTAAAAGATGTGAAAATATTATCTTCATTAATATATATTAAAAAAAAAAAAAAAACTACATTGACAATTAAAAACAGCATTAAAGTTAAGCAGCTGGAGTTTCTGTTTGCTCGGTAGGAAAATGCAAGAAAGCAAAATTTTTGGCTTTTTGATGCAATTCCAAGATTTAACGCGAATTAGTCAAATGTTGTTGGCACACCTGTATTGTTAATAGTATGAGGGTTGATCGTTGATCCGATCTGGTCATACACCCATGAGAAAGTTTGGTATAGAAAAAGTATTTTAAAAGGAAGAAGATTTCAGATGTTGGATGGGTATTTTTTTCCAAATTATCAGCCATGTTTTGCATTTAATTTAAACGGAAAAATAAAGATTTAGATGAGATATAATCTCTAATATTAAGAACCATGTCTCCTATCCCATCTAATAATTTAAAGAGTGCAATCTTTAATCTGCATATCACTTTTTTATTTCTTTGTTTAATCATAATCCATATTTATTTGAGTTCATATGTACTGTTTTGATCATTTTTAAGGTAGTTACCCAGTAATGTTTCTTCACTTTCTTGACAAAACATCTTTGCAATATGAAAACATATTATGGGTGTTTGTTTTAGAGTTCGAGATGGTTGGCTCTGGCTCTAATTAAAAGAATTAAATACTTTAAATTGTAAATAAAAATAATTATTAATAATTAAATATTAATTATCAATTATATTAAAATAACTAATCCAAATGTTCACTGTATAATAACTTTAAACAATGATTGATATATTTTTCGATTCAACATACCGCATAATATATTCTGGTTCAATTATTAAAATTTACTTTTGAAAAATTTTTCATCATGAATTTAAATATAAAAATAATAATTTTTTAATAACTGTGTTATAAAATATGTTGAATAGGAGGAGGATATATCAATTATTTTCCAATAACTTTACCTTTTGGATTACTTTGGGTTTGGATGTATATACGCACATAAGACTCCAAGAACCAAGATGGAAGTCCTTTTTTTTTTTTTAATAAGTTAGCTACTTTTTTTATTTCCCATATTGGTTTAAAATAGAATATCTAGAGCATAATAATCTGAGCTGCCGAGAATGGAGTAGCAAAAGTGCAGGGCATGTTACCTTTGAAGATTGCTGTCATCGAGGGGATATGCTCTTAGGATTCTCCATAAAATTATTTAGTTCCCAATAAAGTTTCTTAATAAAGTTGATTTTTAAAGATAATTAAATCATAATCCATATCATTGTTCTACTTGGGATTTTGTTGGAGGACTGCAACAAGTCAGTAGCAAAAAAACATCATCAGAAATTATAACTTTTCAATCCTCATCAATAACCACAAAAATCAGTCCCAATTGGATTCATCTCTGTTCATATCAATAATGGAAGCAAAACAACAGCTCTATCCTCTATTACATGAACAGGATCAAGTTCCCTCTCTCACCAGTAACTAAAACAGGTACAATAAATTTTTGTAGTGTCTTCTTTTGTTTTGAAGGACCCCAGCCCAGACTCATGTCTAGATGTTCAACTTAATAGATAGATAGTTATATCAAGAAATAGGTAAAGAATAAAGGACACACTAATTAATCTGAATGGTTTGATCTATTTATAAATAAATATTATTTTATAAATTAATTTTAAAATTATTAATAAATAAATATCATTTTATAAATTAAATTTGATAACTTAAAGTTTAAATTTTAAGTAAATACTAAAAATTAAAAAAAAAATAGAACTCTCTAGATACTCATTTTTTGAGTTTATGGAGAGGTAGGTTAGTCAAAAGGCAACAGCACTCCTTTCTATCAATCGGTAGCATGAAAGATAGTTGTTGGCATTCCGCTGTTGTGGCACATTGATGACTATTGCAGTCCAATATGCTGCTGGTAAATTGCACCCTTAATTAGTGATTAAATCAAGAGTAATGTATTAATTTAATTTTTAACTTTTAACTTCTAATTATTAACTTTGTTAAAAAAGAAAAGAAAAGAAAAGAAAAAAAGATAGTTGTTGAGGTTATTTAATATGTGAACTCCAAATTTCTAGAAGTCTAGTGTACCTATTATAATCATGGAACTAAAAAACTAGAAAAATCTTTTCCTTGATGTAATTCCACATGAAATAGTAGTTAAGAAATCTCCATCGTTTGCTCTTTTCAAGAGTTCCTGCATTATTAGTCAAAATATGAATTCAGTACGCGTATGAAGAAAGAAAGAATCTGGTGAGCCTTCCACATTGTGATTCAATGATCATAAATTTTTTAAGAATAGTGATAACACTTAAAAATTTAAGGTTTAAATCTTAGCAATCTTCCTTTTCAATTCCCTAATTATATTAATTCAAAAGAAAAGAAAGAAAGAAAGAAA